TTGATGCATAAAGACCATCCAGTTCATTCCTTATTAGCTTTCTCATTCTTTTCCAGTTTCTTTCGACTGTACTTTTGGCTATCTTAGTTTATATAAAATAGCAATTCCTTCTGTAAGGATAAGCCTGCCTCTTGCTGACTTAAATGCTCATTACTTAGGGAGGAGCAGGAATATTAAGAAATGGGGAGCAGGAAGTTTGTGTGTGTGTTTGTGCGCGCGCGTGCGCACACACACACACACACACACACACTCACACACGCACGCATACAAGTGCACGCGCGCGCATTTTAGCAGTCCTTATGCCCACCCCGAGCCCCGGCAAGGTTTCTATGTTCGCTTTAACAAACGTCAAGGAAAATAAAAATCAAACGGGCATCTCCACCAGTGTGGAGTTTTCGACAGCAGACGGCTCCGGATGAGGGAGGATTTCCGAAGCAGGACTTTGAACACAGTTGACAACCAGGTTCACATCCTCAGAAAACGCTTCCAAGCAATGTAAGCAACACGAAGTTGCAGCCACCTCCTGGGTAAACTTCAAAGGCACAGAGGCCAGGGGGAGGGAGGAAGGAAGTGTGGTATTTAGATAACTTACTCGGGGTAGAGAAAGAGTCTGAACTCATCAAGACAAACCAAGAAAAAAAAAAAGGGCAGAAATATAGTCTGCATAAAGCTACAGTCCCCCAGATTCTAAAACTGTAGCCATGATGCCCATGCCTTTTACCCACGGAAGAGTAAATAAGGAAGTATCTAGAGTTTAAGATACCCAAATCTACCCTACGCCAAATAAGAGTAAAGAAACGGTGGAGACACATTTCCTACTTTCTGGGCTTTAACTTCGGCCTTTCAAAAAGCCAGCTTTCTCTAGCATCTCCTGGAGTGATAGGGTAGAGAAAGAAGGAAAGGCAACCAGATGGTCACTAAAGACATCCCGTTTGAGTTCTGCCCACAGATTAAAAGGACAAGGGCACACATTCTTTGTTGACACTTCTGCAGTGACTTCCCCTTTGACGTGCAAGCCCCCGGCGCCAAAACAACTGTCACTACCACCAAACAGGGGCAAGTTAAACTCTTACTGGAAACACACCGTAGAGAAGCACACACACCTTAACAACTGCCTTTGTTATTTAATTCATGAAACTAAATACACACAAGCTCATACGAACACACATACTATCCCAACCCTCTCGCTATCATCTATATTCGCATTTCATTTATGGCTTGACTTTTGTCATATCCTGAAATGAAGCTTTGCATTTACCCGATGAGTTGCGTCTCCTGGTGCTCCTCAGTTCTTGCTATTTCTTTTGTCTTATAAAAGATCAGGAGCAGACTTATCGTGCAGATCGTCCACCTCTTCCTAATGGAGCGCATCTTGGTTCCCCGGGAAAGTCCTGGTTGTCCCAGCTCTCGCACCTTCTCTGGATATAAAAGCTCCGTTTTAGGAAATATAGTCGCGAGGGTGGGGGGCGGAATCTGTAAAATGCGAGGAGAGCGTGGAGCCGGGATCTCAAGAGCGGGTCGCGAGGGTCCTCTGAGGCAGAGCTCCTGTTGGTGCTCAAGCGCTGCCCAGCGCTTTCCCTCTCGGTTCGCGCCAGCTCTGCCGGGTCGCTCCGCGTCGCCAACCTAGGTTTCAGGTTTCTTAGAGGACGAGACACCTTGCATCAGAGGTGGCGGCCGCTTCTGCAGCTGGGTTCGGGGGCGTCACTAGCCCTTCCCTTTTCCTAGCAGGGAAATGATGAGCAAAACCAGCCAATCACCGGACTGAGGAGGCGGAGGCTGCTGTTGCCTTGCGTTGCTGGCGGCTGCTTAGAGAGTAACGTTGCCGGCTTAGAGGAAGCCGGCAAGCTCATGGTCGTGCGCACACACACACGCGCGCTCACACACACACACACACACACACACACACACACACACACACACACACACACAACACTCCTACATTCCGGGGAAAGCTCAGCACTCCAGGAGGAAGTCAGGCACCTCTCCCAGAACACCAAAGCGTCAGCTCCCTGAATTGAGAACCGCCGAGACAGTCTGTCCCCAGTCAGCGTGGGGAGGACACTTCTGTTGCGGGTAGATCAGAGACGCTTCTTGGTAGAGAAATTCTTCAGCTAGAGCGAGGGTGCATTACAAGAAGGGTCGCTCCTTCCAAGCGCTTTTGCTAAACACACACGCGCGCACCACGCATCTGCGCGCCCTCCCAAGTAGAGTGAATGGGTAGAGGGAGGGCGAAGGAGGAGAAGGACGTTTTACATTCCGTGCACAGCTCAATCTGGAAAGTATAAATGCATACATGAACTGATTAACCTATCGCCCACTCAGGGTGGGTGGGGGATGACAACCCCGACTCAAAATCCTGTTGGAAACATGTGATGACAGAGGTATCATTAGGCACTTTATGGATGCTTATGTGACTCGTTGCCATTTAAAAACTCCTCACGCAGAAGTCAAGGAAACTCCAATCCCACTTAAACTTTACTGAAGAGAAACAAGATTCTGAGAAAAAGTAGTCACCAAAGACCTTCTTTTTAAATGCAAGCATACTCACGAGAAGGAAAAAAAAAAAAAAAAGGAAGGAAGAAAAGAAGGAAGACAAAAAAAGAAAGAGGACAAACTCTTCTTCAAAAGTCTCAATGAGATGCATTTATCCTCTGATTTTCACCTTCTCCTTCCTCCTACTGTTTCTTCACTTCTACTGTATTATGTAGCAGGAGCATTTTTCCAATCCTGGGTTCCAATCTTTAGTATGAGTACTGCTCCACGGCCCTTTGATCCCCGCCCCCACCCAGAGAGAAACTTGCTGCTGGGGTACGTCTCACGCCTTGATTTGGCTCTTCAGCGCTAGGCTGGTGGGAAAGAATCCAAGGCACGCTTAGCGTGACACAATGCCTGGAAGCCAGGATTTCCACCAGGTACAAGTGCTAGTCCCAAATTCTTCGCCACCCCCTCTTCCCCCTCTCGCCCCATTTCTCAATTGAATTCCTAGTTCCTTCAAATTGAGCAGTGGCTCCACCCTTCATCCTTTCTTGGCCCCTGGGATTTACACCCACACAAGCCCGGAAATGGTGAGGCCCACCACCAATTCTTCGCTGGAGGGGTCTAAAAAAGGGAGTTCTGAGTTACTAGTCCCATGACAGCTTAAAATAACGATAACAGCCAGCTTCCTTGCTTAAAAAAAAAAAAAAAAAAAAAAAAAAACTAGATCAGTGGCACTATTGATGTAACTAGGTTCCCTCCAATGTTTAATATTCTTCCCCCAAGGTTTAGGAAGTTAAAAACCTCTCATTTCTGGAGTCTTGTATTCACAGCAGGGCGAACTAAGGGGTTGGGTCTAAAATGCTCAAAGGAGCAAGTAATGATGAGCCTTTATTGAAACAACAAGTGGCCCACTGGGAGCCTTTCAAGTTTATTGATGTCTAGGCAAATCTCACTTGCTTTAATGCATCTCTATCACACTGACTTCTCAACTTGCAGAAAGTGCAAGAACAAAACAGCTTATTTAAGTTAAAAAGGAACCTGGACAGGGAAGAGGTGGGCAATGCATGGTTAGGATGCCAAATTCTCCAGGTTATCTTTTGATTTTTATATAATAAACACATATATTTGGGGTTTTAAATAAAACACCACTTGTTGATGGTGATACAGTGATATGCATCACTTAATTAAATTTAACCAGCATTTCTTGAGCAATTACTATGGGTCAGGCAATTTGTGAGGACATAGAAACACAGCGGTGAATAAAGTATAGCATCTAACCAGACTAAAAGTTCACTCAATGGGAAAGAGGGGGTAGGTTGTAAGAGAAATGGCTGTGATATGGCACCACAAACTAACAGCAGCATCTGAAGCATCTACCTGGATCTGGGGTAAGATACTGGGAAGAAACAGAGAAAGTGCTTAAGTCTTTGAGAGCAAGAAAGCTGAACTTCCTGAACTGGGGTTTGCAAAGCTATGGAGAGGCAGGCAGAGGCAGGACAGAACATCGCAAGCAGAGGACGTGTGACTTCAGAGAGGAATAAAACGGTGGTGCTTTGGGGAACTTTGAAGTAGTTCAAGTACTATTATAACAGGAAATGAGAAATAAGAGTAATGGGACAAAAGTTTCAGGGTGATCTAATATGCTACAGTTCGACAATGTCAAATTGTCTCTTCTAATGGGAAAGTTGGCATAAGAAAATCTTCAAGAGGAAAATGGGTTTAATTCCCATATTAAGTTTTAAGTTAAATTAGGGGAAACTGTTCATCTGGCCTAAACAGAACAGAACAAACCCACCAACAGCAAAATGAAAGCACATTAAGATCTAGTTATGGAAACACATAAGATATTTTAACACCTAGAAGGGAAGAAGTGAACTTCCCAATTGTATAATGCCGCTGTTTCTAAATTTATTAAGCATAACACCTTTTATATTGAGGTGAACACTTCTAAACGACTGATAATAGTTCAGTGACACTCAAGAGATTCCCCGTCTCAAAGTTGAACAAGTTAGCGTTTAGAGTGTATTTTAGTGTCATCTGTTTAATATTTTTAGATACATAACAATTTGCCAAGTTAATAAAAAACATACAGGCCAACACTTGAGCCAAATCAAGGACCGTCTGGTTCTTCTCAATATGCAATTAGGTACAAGAACAATAAATACAAATATTGGGTAAGAAGTCTTATCCACACAAGGGTCCTTTGGACTCATTGCCTTTCATTAGAATGTCGTTTTGATGATCCTGAGAAATTGAAGTTGTTCCTAAATTTCCATTCTATCTTTGGATTGTAAGTTCTTCAATAAAGAGAACACCTTTGTCTTTATTCAGCATAATTCTGCAGTTACACGGTACCCTGCAAATAAATAATGCAAGTAATGGCAGCTGCTTTTAAAATGCTACTTTATCTTTAACTTAATGTAAATCATATTTTAATTGCTGGCTGTGCCCTCAACTTTAGCTAGAGATATATGGATAGACAGTTGGAGTCTTAGTGGGTTTTTTAATGGTCCACGACAATTTTTAATAGACTATTTTTTAGAGCAGAGACTTCCCATGAACTCGCACCTCCAAACATCCACAGCCTCCCTCACAATCAACATCCCATGCCAGAATAGTACATTTGTTATAATCAATGAAACTGCCTTGACATATCATTGTCACCCACAGTCACTCTTGATATGGTATATTCTATGAGCTCTGACAGATGTGTAATGACATATATATACCATTATAGTGTCATAAGGAGTAGTTTTTGTTAATGACCTTACAATATAGTGAGAATTATTCATGCAGAGCCTTTTACCTATGAACCAATGATCAGGAAAAAAAAAAAAGAAGCATAGTAATGAGAATATTCAACTAGGCAGCTCACTCTTTTTTTTTTGTACAAAATAACTAGTTTTTAAAAAATTCATTCTAAATTAATTCATTTTGCCATGTAAATATCATAAAAGCTTCACTGATTTTTTTTTTTCTGCATGTATATTTGTAGTATTTCTGTTACTTTCAGGGTTTTTTTGTTTTTTTTTTTTTCCATAATAAGTAAACTAAATAGCTTACAACAGAAGGATGATTTTGACTCTAGGTACAATATACAATTATAAATCTAGTTTAATTTATGAAACAACAGGAAAAGCCCCATCGTTGCCATTCTCAGTTCTTCCCCTTATCTAATCCATGCCACTTACATTATTGTTTACATTTATTACTTGACCTCTATTTAAACATGAATGTCTTTAGAAGAAACAATTTTTATGCACTGTGAGTCAAATATTCTTCAATTTGTAATATCCATTTGAAATGTACGAGACGTCTTTTAACTACTGCTAGTCAAATATACTCCAATTTAGAATGGAGACTTCAACTGCTTGTAGTTTACATTTTAATTGTTTATAATCCTTATCTTCTTTAGTCCTGTAATCCCAGGTCTTATTTCCTGCTCCAGAGACCCCTGAAATAAACAGATATACTCTCCCTCACATGTTTTGGGAAGTCCTAGATGTCCTACCTTATTGCCTAGTGATATTTTTCTCTGTGTTTTGCTTTTGCTGTGTTTCCATGCTCAGTGGTGATGGGATGAATAATCTGCTAGAAAGAGAGTAACCATTAGGCTAATTATTACCCCAAACTGCTCTCCTATCAAATAGTGGTCACTTACAAGGCAATTTTCTGTGTCACTATCTAGGGAGTTTATTCTTTAGGGCTGTAATTTTTTAATTTTAATGTATTGAAATTTTTATAATGTCAGCTTTTATTGAGCAAATAACTAAATAAAGCCCTTATAAACCAAAGTTTTGAATGCCATGTCTAGAGATGCCTAATCTGTCAGCAGGAGAAAGTTGCTGTGGGAAAATGAATCAATAAATACTTATTGGAGGGAGCCTGTGGGAATAAAGGAAAAATAATGAGTCTAATTCGCATCTGACCTGTGCTTCATAATATAAATAATTGATTTGTCTTTTGCATTACCACAATCATATTTCTCCACATTCCACCAGAAAACTTTATGTAAATACCTATGGCTAACATAGGTACTGTGGCTAAACACATACTTGCAAAGTCACAACTTATGTAAATTATAAGTTTATATTGTTACAATTGTGCTCCTATTATTAGGAAAACAAAGAAATACATTTTAAAATTCTATTGGGAAGATCTAAAATAACTGGGGATTTTAAATGCTCTTGTGTGAACTAAATGCAGAAC